GCACAACACGCTTCATTTTTCCTACATCATCACGATATAAAATGATAAGAAATACTATTTGCATTCATGCATCCTGATTTTTGTGTGTGTGTGTGTGGTGTAGGATGGACTGTCAGATGGAACGCACTCGGCCACTGAGCCACACCCCAGCCCCTGTTGATGTTTTATACCAAGATGCATGGATCRCAACGTTCCCCTCCCAGTTCTTCCGCACAAGACTCCCCAAGTAAGCACCCTTCCTTTGAAACCACGTTTGCACCGATGCCCAGCACTGGGCACCCCCGGGTAAGGCCCTGGGCGCTCCATTCCTCCTCCGCCATGACCTTCCATTTGATCTTTCTCCTTTATCTTCTCCTGAGACAACACCGTCATTAATCAGCCTTCATTTCTGTCGCTGGAATTAGCATATTGACTCTAAAATAGGCTTCCTTTTATGTGCACTGGACGCCCCTAAAATATTCTGACCAGGGATCCACGGTCGACACGAGAAAGACCTTTGATGGCCATCGGAAAATCTTCCTTTTCTCTCTTGCTTGGTCCGAAAACTCTATTTTAATAACATCCCACCTTTTTTTTTTTTTAAAAAAAAAAGAGGGGAACAAATTAGAAAATCTAGGGACAAGATAAAAGCATTTTGCTGATGATCTCTTAAGTCTCCATCCACTTAAGGCGGGAGGAAGAGATCGAATAGGCGCTGTCAGGAACGCCACCGCCGGGGTCTGAATTCGGAAGCGCCTTCAAATAGCCCAGGAGAAGGGGCTGGGGTTGGGGAGACGCAATGGGTATTGTTAGTAGGTTTCTAGGAGGCGCCGTCGGAGCCGGCCACACTGAAAGACTCCCACTTTTCATCCTGGCGACGACGTGAAGAAAGGAAAATGGATGCTGTATTCGTGGATCATGAATTAATCATGAACCTTTTCAGCCACCTATTTTTAATTAGCTACAGAGTCTGACAATTTTCTTTCCAGGGCTCTCTGCAGCTGGGTCTAAAGAACGTCAATCTCCTTTGGAGGCTAAAATCACTCTATGTATATATATATATACATATATATATATGCATTTGTCTGCAAAATTTATAGCTGCTTTCCAAACAGATAAGAAAAAAAAACTGAAATCAAATTACTTCGCAAATGGTGAAGGCTTCCAAAGGCTCGATTAGAAATCGACGCGGGATCTTGTAGGATCAATGGCCTTCGGGAAATCAATGACCCTTGAAGAGAGCCGAAAAGTTTTTTGGTTTCCGAAACAGAGAAAAGGAACCCGGAGATCCTTTTGAAGAACAAATGGCAGCCATGACAAGAGCCAGTGCATCTATTAAGCTGCTCAGCATTAGGAAGGAATAGAAGCCCAGAGGATGCACCTTTTAGCCACAGAGGATGGACCTTCTAGAAGGAGCATCCTCAGCTGTCGGTTTAAATTTAACAGGGAAAAATATGTGCTAGGAGGTCACTGTCTTCTGGGGTCGTTATGAAGAACACAAGCAATAATAAGTGTGGCGAGGATGTGGGGGGAAAGGCTCCCTCCTACGTGGCTGGTGGGACTGCAAATTGGGGCAACCACTCTGGAGAGCAGGACGGAGCTTCCTCCGAAAACTGGGAATGGAACCACCATGTGACCCAGCTCTCCCACTCCTCGGTTTATACCCAAAGGACTTAAAATCACCATACTACAGGGACGCGGCCATGTCAATGTTTACAGCAGCTCAACTCACAGTAGCCAAGCTGTGGAACCAACCCAGGTGCCTATCAACCGATGAGTGGATCAAGAAACTGTGCTATCTATACACAGTGGAATATTACTCAGCAATAAAAAAGAATAAAATCATGGCATTTGCTGGTAAATGAGTGAAATTGGAGAATATCATGCTGAGTGAAGTTAGCCAATCCCCCAGAAACCAAAGGCTGAATGTTCTCTCTGATAAGTGGGTGCTGATCCATAATGGGGGGCGGGGGGGCTGGAGGAATTTGATGGGTCAAAGGGGAGGGTGGGGAGGGGAGGGGCATGGGGGCAGGAAAGACGGTGGAATGAGATGGACATCCTCACCCTAGGTACATGTACGACTGCACATGTGCAGAGACACAGTGACTCGGTGGGCTGGGACCCCAAGCCAGGGCTCAGGGACGGGCGACCCACGCAGGCAATGTGCTCCCTCACCTGGGGCTGGATTTCCAACAGTCTCTCGAGCACTTATCCTCCAAAGATCTTGAGGAAAGGAGATCACATGTGCTGGTGCTGATGTCCGCGGTCAGTGGGGATCGGCCAGCGGCACCAGGCTCACCCTGCAAATTTGTCCAAAAGAAGAAAAATTCGTTAACTTCAAAAACGTGTGCTGAGCTACCCACATGGGGTGAGCTCCCCCTTGCGTAGAAGTTTCCTCGGCCTCCACTGCTCTCTCTACTCTGTGTAAGTCTCCTCCATCCTCGGGGCCTGACCTCCCAGCCACTGCCGCCAAGAAGTGCCCCCCCCACAGTGAATCCATGGAAAAAACAGAGTCCCCCATGGTTGACCTTCAAGACGACCTCTTTTCCCCTGGAGAGCAGATGTGTGTCGTTAGGAACAGGATGGTTAGTTTACTGGACACTGTTTTCAAACTAACGTGCACCACCGCCATCTTTGATTGGCTCTATGTGCTTACTGCATGTCGGTGCATAAGAGAGACAAAGGTAGATGGATCTCTCCATATATACATACACCATCTAGGGAGAGAGGTAGATAGATGGATGGATGGGTAGATGGATGGAGGTGAGGATAGATGGAGGTGAGGATAGATGGATGGGTAGATGGATGGAGGTGGGGATAGATGGATGGGTAGATGGATGGAGGTGGGGATAGATGGATGGGTAGATGGATGGAGGTGGGGATAGATGGATGGGTAGATGGATGGAGGTGAGGATAGATGGATGGGTAGATGGATGGAGGTGGGGATAGATGGATGGGTAGATGGATGGAGACATGGATGGATGG